TAAAATTTGTTGTGAGAACATGTAAGAACCGGGATGGTATTGTCTCATTCAACAATTGAAAAGAATCACATGAGGTTGTATGAGTGAGAATGTAATTCATATGATTTAGTGCAAATAAATAAGGAAATAACCTTTGAAGGGTGTAGAGTTAGATGACTTTAATGTGACAAGTTAAAGCCCCCAACTTAGTTTATTTTTTTACGTTCTGATACGAGCTTTTAGCCCTAGATGGAGAGAATCGAGGGAACTCTAGAGTGAGAGCGGGTATCTTCCCTACCTACTCGGTCTTTAGAACTATTCAAACTTTAAATTAGCCAAGGTTCTTTATAGCATCTCTAGTAAGGGTAAAGAATATAATTGCTCATATTTGGAACAACACAATTTCCATACTTCCACAACATAATTCCTATACTTATTACTGATTCATGATAAGAAGAAAGATATTTTCATATTAAGTACTTTTCAAATTTAGTGATTTTCTCTTACATCAACTCAAGTTATCTTTTTAAATTGTTACTGTTCTGTCAAAATATCAAAAATACCAAAAAGATTTAAATTTTAATATTGCAAAAATATTTAAGTTTAAGTAATTATCTTTTTAAAATAGAAAGTTTATTTTTCAACAGTGCATATTGTGTATTTCCCTGTGGGTTTGATATTTAGGTCTTATTCAAAAAGTCTTATATTACTTGATAATGATATGTATACTTGTGTAGTATCCCAATATATATAAATTAAAAAGTTGAATTCTTATTTTCTTCAGGATCAAGTTTTTGGTACTATTGCAGAGTAAGAAAATATAAGTGAAAATTATAATTAAAGACATTGTTATACTGTTGCATATAAGCAGTTTTGGGATCATCTACCTTTGCCTTTCTTAACACAATTCAAATTTAAAACATCTACCCTCCTAATCGGATCATCAGATGGTCGACGTATAATGTGACCAAACCATCTAAGGCGACTTTCTCTAATTTTGTCCGGCACAGGAGCTACACCAACCCTATCACAGATATATTCATTTTGCATTTTGTCTCTAAGTGTAAAGACACTCATCCACCTAATCATTCTCATCTCGGCAACACTTAACTTATTATTATGCTTCTCTTTTAAAGGCCAACATTCAACGCCATAGAGCATTGCAGGTCTCACCACCGTCTTATAAAATTTTCCTTTTAGTCTAAGCGGTAATTTTCTATCACACAAAAGGCCCAAAGCAGTCCTCCACTTCAACCAACCAACTTGAATTCTACTATTAACATCCCTATCTATATCACCATTTCTTTGAACAACGGACTCAAGATATCTAAATCGTTCAAACCTTTTAATAATTTGATCACCTAAAGTCACACTTCTGTCACTAGAACTATTACACTTAAAATTACATTCCATGTATTTAGTTTTAGTTCTACTTAAACGAAGGCCTTTAGACTCCAAAGTAGACCTCCATAATTAAACGTAGACCTCCATAATTAAAGTTTTTCTTGGGATTTTTCTCTTGTTTTATCCACGATAAGGATATCATTAGCAAAAAGCATGCACCAAGGTACATCCTCCTGTAAATGTTCAGGAAGACCATCCATAACTAAAGCAAATAAAACTAAAGAAAAAAGATATGTGCTTAAAGCCTATCCCTGATGTAATCCAACAGAAATAGGAAAATATTTGGTCAATCCTCCTTCAGTTTGAACACAAGTAACAACTCTAGTATAATACATATCTTTAATGACTTGAATATAGGCCATATCAACACCTTTATTTTCTAGAACTCTCCAAAAAACTTTTCTTGGAACCTTATCATAACTTTTTTTCAAAATCAATACAAATCATACGTAGATCCTCCTTACTCACTCTAAACTTCTCCATCAAGTCTCTCAATAAATGTATAGCTTCCATAGTAGACCTGCCCGACATAAATCCAAATTGATTATGAGAAATCTTTGTAATGCGTCTTAACCTATAGTCAATTACCCTCGCCCATAACTTTAAAGTATGACACATCAACTTAATTCCTCTATAATTTGCACACTCTTGTGCATCCTCTTTATTCTTAAAAATGAGGACCAAAAAACTCTTCCTCCACTCCTCGGGCATCTTTTTAGTTTTTAAAATAATATTAAAAAGGGTTTAATAAGCCAAGAAACACCTAAATCTCCCAAATATTTCCATACTTCAATTGGGATATCATCAAGTCCTACAGACTTTCCACCCTTGGTTCTCTTTAAACCATCCTCAACTTTTTTTTTACTAATGCGACGGTAAAATGAAACATTTTATTTTTATTAATGCTATTAAAATCACTAAGGTTGATCATATTTTCGGAAACATCATTAAAAAATTTATCAAAATAACTCATACCTATGTTGAATATTCTTTTTCTAAGAAAAGTAATTTTTGATTGTGATCTTTAATACACTTTACTTGAGTCAGATCTTTACTTTTCTTTTCTCTTTATTTGGCTAGTTTATACATATATTTTTCACCCTCCTTAGTATCTAATATATTATAAAGATCATTAAAAGCAGAATTTTTAGCGTCACAGATTGTTCTTTTAGACTCCCTGTGGGTCGTTTGATATTTTTCTCAGTTTTCTAAGCTTTTACATTTAAACTAATTTTATAACATAACTTCTTATATTTTATCTTTTCTTGCACATTATTATTCCACCACTAACTATTTTTATTTATAAATTTTTCTTTTGATTCTCCAAGAAAATTTTTTGCTATTTGTTTAATAGTGTTTGTTAATTTATCCTATGTAACATTTGCTTCTTCATGAACCACCCAAAATTTGAAATCTTGAATTTTACTCATAAAAATAATTTTATTTGTGTCTTCTAGGTTCCCCCATCTAATTTTTCGATTATAAGTTCTATTATTTTTTATTTTACAACTCTTCATCTTAAAATTTAAAACAAATAAATGATGTTGGGTACTTAAATTCTCGCTTGGAATGACCTTACAATCATTACAATCTCGACAACTCTTCTTCTCATAAGAAAATAATTAATTTGTATTTTACTAGATCCACTCTTATAAGTAATAAGATGCTCATCTCTTTTCTTGAATAAAGTATTAGTAATAACAAAATCATATGCTAAAGCAAAATCTAAAATAACTCTACCTTCTTCATTAGTTACTCCAAAATCGTAGAAACCGTAGCCCCCATGAGTATTTCTGAAGTCTTCTACCACTCTACCGACATGTCCATTTAAATCTCCTCCAATAAAAATTCTTTCTTCAAGAGGTATCATTTGTATTAAGTCTTCTAAGTCATTCCAAAAATAATCTTTAAACCCTATATGTAAACCTAATTGAGGAGCATAAGCATTTATTATATTAAAAATCTTAGTATCAATGATAATCTTAAGGGCTATAATTCTATCTCCAACTCTATTAGTTTTTACAGCATTATCTTTCAAACTCTTATCTATAATTACACCTACACCATTTCTAGTGCGACTCTTACCAGACTACCAAAGTTTAAAACCTAAATTATCAATCTCCTTAGTCTTTTCTCCAACCCATTTAGTTTCTTTGGTCTCCCTAAAATGATAGGTATTTCCTTAGTTTCATTAGTCTCATGGACTTACTTTTTTACCCGCATTTGTCCGTAATGTGGGAACCGTAATATTAGTTTCATTAGTCTCATGGACTAACTTTTTTACCCGCATTTGTCCGTAATGTGGGAACTCTTGTTTATTTGACGCTACATCTAGGAGCCGATATAGCAACCCTTACACACTTTTCACTGTATTCAGGCTTGTGTCGCTTCCAGGGGACACCATAACACTTACACAATGATCAAAATGATTCATGTCATTATTTTTTCGACAAGTTTTACGCTGGTTGTCGACTACCTAACGCAACCCTCCACTTTTCATATCCGGGCTTGGAACTGGCAATGACAATGTTAGACTATATTTTTAACAAGCTCAATTTATTTCATATTACATAACTATCATCTAAAATATTAATATTTATAAATTAATCACCGAGATGTTTTTTTTTTTAAACTGCCAAACTGAAGTAACATAGCACGATCAAACTATTAAGAATATGATAAAAATTAAAAACATGAGTTAAGATTTTACCATGAATTTTGATATTTGAGTGAGAATTTGAAAAATGGATGAAAGTGAATTGTTAATTTATAAGTATGAAGTTTCGTGCAGTCGTAATTGCCCCAGGCAAAAATTGTTGACCCAAAATTTATACATACATTTTTAGCTTTTAGGTCATACTTTTAAGCCCCTACCCTACTCAATTGTTCTTTCTTAAAAATATTTCTTTTGATGGTATCTTTTACACAAAAAAAAAAATTATATCATTTTCTGCCTCCCTTTGGAAGAGGCTTCTTTGAATATAGAAAACTATTTCTAGATTAGCAAGGCTATAACTTACACAATTAAAAAAGGCTTGAAAGTATTATATCATAAGATATAATGGGACTTGAATTCAAAAAAAGAATTTATTAAGCCAAATACATTGCATGGATGAGAATGTTGGCCTTAAATACTTCATTGGTTGCTACTTTTATCGTAGAGAATAAATGATAACATTAAGATGAATATATAGAATATATAAAAACATCTTTACAAAAAATTATTTTTTAAGCAATCAATAAATACACCAAATTGACACAAAATTTTATGCCAAAGCGTTAGGTTCAAGTGCTCACCTTACCACAGAACTAAGAAAAAAGTTAAGTTCAAAATAATCAACTCAACCAAATCTGATAAATAAAATCTCTTCATTAAAATACTAATAAAGTAAAGTAATTGACTCTTCATTAAAAGGTTCAGGTTCTTTGTAGGAGACCTGAAAAACATTTTTTTTGTTATAGAACATATATAGTTCAATTTTGATGAATTAAAAAACATAATTAACAATAAACAATGAAAATAAACTCCAAAATTTGAGCTTCTCCAACATAAAATTCAACACAAAAGAACAACATTTCCTTGAAATTAAGTAATATCAAGAACTAAACAGATCACAGCCGTTCAACTTAACAATAGAAGAAGAGTACAACAAACAAATTTTACAACTTTCACCAAATGCTAAGCAAAAAAATTACTCAAAAAAGAACCATGCCTTATTCATTCTATATTACTGAGAATTAATTCAATATTTCATTTGGTCCATTGTACTGTTGAACGAGGATGGGTGTGGGAAGAAATAATTGAAGGCCTATTCTATATACTCTTTTGGCCGCTACATTTACAAATTACATGTTCCCAGGGTGCCTTGTGGCTCCCAAGGAGAAAGAGGCCATTTCTGCCCGAAGGACAATGCTTCTCTTATTTCATATTTTATCATTTATTGCATTTTTTTTATATATATTTTTGTGTAATATTGAATTTACTGTATTGGTTTTCTGAGAAAGGGCTTCTGGCAAAGAAGAAGTCTCTCATCTTTGTTAGCTTCCAACTCTATTACACGAGCTTCCCATTTCAACTGTGTGGTTAATGGTCTGAGTGCTTCAACGAGTGGTGTTTTATCATGAATTATAACCCAACCCTGCAAAAACAAAAACAAAAAAAGAAAAAGGTTTAAATCGGTGATAATTTGTAAAAAAGTAGATAATTTAAGGACAACAATGAAAAGAAAAGAGTACAACAGGATATAATTGTTATTTATGCCTAGTTTTTTAATTCCTGAGCATGTCATAATTGCATGCTTGCTTGGTCTACTTGCAATTTTATTAGGAAAATTTACATACAAAGCCACAATTCTCATCTATTTACATGAATATTACTGAAAGTTTGATATTTGCATTTATAATATTTTGGTGTCATAGCCATCCTATGTATGAAAAAATATATCTCACTTCAAAAAGGTTAACAAAAATGATATTTTTGATGTGATATTGAAGATTGGAGTGTTATGAATGTAAATATGAAAGTGTTAGATACGTCAATACATAGGATTTGTGTGGTTCGTATGTAAATGCCCCATGTTAATAACCTTTAAGTTTCTAGGACAAGGATATGGATCATTGCTAGCATCATTTAGGACACATGTTAACTCTTTAGCATTTCATTATCTCATTCCATTTGCATAATTTATATGGTTTATAAAGTTCTCATGAAAATAATTGCAAAAATATTGGCTACTGCTATTGCAATTACAACCATTTTGTTGATTTGAAAAGAATGCATGTTATTAGGTATGACTCATATACCATAAATGAAACAGATGCTGGAGCGGAGCGGAGCCGACGAGCGGAGTGGAGCGGAAGAATTTGTCTAATCGGGAGAGTTTCATTATGTGGGTTGGGGGTGCGGGGGCAACACCTCGCAGTTTGGTACATGAGTAATTTAAGTAATTACATATTGTACTATAGGTTTATATATATGTCATGTTTGTAACCCTAGGTGAGTTTGAAATTCCGAATCTTGTATTATGTACTCTTTTCTGAATATTGAAAAGAAAGTCGCCGCTCTGCTCCCGATGATGTAGGCATCTTTGTCAATCCTCGTTAAATCTCTGTGTGTTCTTTTGGATTTGTGTCAATTTTTTTTTCTTCGCCCTAATTTCTCAACAAGTGGTATCAGAGCAAGGCTCTAGGGCAGGGAAGAAAAATTTCGCGGTGCACAGAAGAGATTGGCAGCTAAGAAAGGATTTCGGCAAGGTTCATGGCAGTTCGGATTTCAACGCAGAGGAAATTTGAAGACAAAGAGGGCTTCAGACGGATCGACAGGAAGACTAGGGCTTTTCCGCGAAGGCTTCAAGTGCGAAACCAGGCACGCGCGGACAGTAGGAGTTAGGCAAAGCTTCGAAGGAGTCTGCGCAGGAAGGCGTCGGCGAGATCGACAGCGCCGCTAGAAGGCGTCGGTGAGATCGACAGAGGAATCGCGGCAAGAATCACAGTGTTCACGATCACGACAGAGGAATCGCGGCTTCGGCTTCGGCGGGTCGGACGGGCTTCGGTTCGGCGAGAGGTTTTGGCGTCAGGCGAAGTCACTACAAGCAGAAAAGGAAGGTTCGGTGTCAGCCTGGAGCGGAGGCGAAAATTGGAAGCTCCGATTTCATTCCTTAGTTGGAGGCGGAAGAAAATTTGAAGGAAATCAATTTCTAATTTTATTGCGGAGAAGAAAATTGGAAGAGAAATCAATCCGATTTTATTCCTTTGAGGGAGGCAGAAAAGAAAATTGGAAGGAAATAAGTTATGATTTTATTCTTTTGCTGCGGAAAAAAAATTTGGAATGGATATTTTCAGCTTTCTCAGAGGCAATAAAGGAAATTTCCTCCTATTAACCAGGAAAATCTTATTGCACGCGGATATTTAGGATGCGGGAAAGGTAAGGAAAGAGAATCTACTGCTGCACTCGGGAAAAAAAAAATTCTTTCTGGAAACGGAGGCGGAGTTTTTCTGAAAGGAAAGCGAAAACTGAGTTTTTCTAAGAAGGAAAGCGGAGCTTTTCTGGAAGGAAAAATGAGCTTTCTGGAAAGCAGAGACGGAGCTCTTCGTGGAAGTTTAAGGAAAATGATTTCTGGGAAAGTTTAATAAAGAAAAATTTAATTAGGGAAAGTTCTTTTTCTAGAAAACTTAATTAAGAGAATCTTAATTAAGGGATTCTTTAAAAAGATTTGTGGTCCAACCCGCACTGGTGCATAAAAAACTCCATGATGTATTTTCTCCTAAAGGACTGAATATTCACCAAGGTGGAGATTTATTCAGTATATGAATTTCTCCTAAGGGGCTAGATACTCGCCAAGGTGGAGATTTGTTGGGTATATGTATTTCTGCCAAGGGGTTGGATATTCGCCAAGGTGTAAATTTGTTGGGTATATTTGTTGGGCATATATATTTTCTCCCGAGGGGCTGGATATTCTCCAAGATGGAAATTTGTTGGGCATATGTATTTCTCCTAAGGGGATGAATATTCGCCAAGGTGGAGATTTGTTAGGTATGACTCATATACCATAAATGAGACAGATGTTGGAGCGGAACGGAGCCCACGAGCGGAGTGGAGCAAAAGGATTTGTTCAATCAGAGGAGTTTCATTATGTGGGTTGAAGGTGCAGGGGCAACACCCCGCAATTTGATACATAAGTAATTTAAGTAATTACGTATTGTACTATAGGATTATATATATGTCCTGTTTGTAACCCTATGTGAGCCTGAGATTCCGAATCTTGTATTTTGTACTCTTTTTTGAATAGTGAAAAGGAAGTCGCCGCTCTGCTCCTGATGATGTAGGCGAACCTCGTTAAATCTATGTGTTCTTCTATATTTGTGTCGATTCTTATTTTTCTTCGCCCTAATTTCTCAGTACACGTAAAGTTTAAACCTGATAATAAAGTTGTAGTGTGATAAACTTAGATGTTGCTTACATGAACAACCATTTAAAAAAAATGGAAATTTATATACACAGCACCCAATTCTTATGCATTTACGTATCTCACACCCAAACTGAAATTTTTACAAAATCAGCACCCTACCTATGGATGAAAATGTGGATTTCATTGTTGGAGAGTGGTGAAAAAGATAAGTTGGGTGCTTAGTTTGTAAAAATGAGAGTTTGAGCGTGAGATAGTTAAATGCATAAGAATTGGGTGTCGTGTATGTAAATTCTCCTAAGAAAATAGAAGTGAGAAAGAAAAAAATATTTAAAAACTTTACAATGCATTGAAATTAAAGCCAATAAATTAAAACTTCCACAAAGTGTTGGTAATTTTTGGTCATATTGCACAAGTCTAGAAACAATTCCTTGAATTTCTCTATTTTCTGCCTCCTTGTGAATCTACTTTCACTCCTCCATCAGATAATTCTATATTGCTTGTTCCTCAAACAATTATGGATGATGAAATTTGAAATATTTCGGTGATATAAAAAGTAAAATTTTGGTGTTAGATATATAAAAACATAGGAGTTCGGTGATATGTATGTAAATACCCCTAAATGAAACAGCACATCAGAGAGTTGTTACTATGACCTTATTTTCTGAACCATGTAAAATGGCAATAAGGCCATAATTTAATCCATAATATGCACTATAAATAGCAATATAAGAATGAAACTTTCAAAGATAGAATCAGTTTACCTCTGGTCGTAAAATCCGATCAATCTCTGAGAATATGTCTAGGATTGAACATCTGGTCTGTTGATGATTTGATAGCAAACCTTCAGCATGAACCATATCATAAGTTCTTGGATATGTTGGAAATGCTTCGCACCTAATTAAAGAAGATGAGATTAGCTTTCATTATTTTAATATTGAATTTTAGAGCTTTAACAATAAGTTTTAGTGATCATGAAACTTTCCCGAAAGAATTTTAAAATAAAAGGAAGATTTAAATGCATACCATTCAGTTCCTATATATTTACATATCTAAAATCCAACTTCATTTGTTAAATGCATGTTACATATGCATGAAAAGGTGTCTTTCACTTTCAAGAAAAAGGTGAATTTCACTTTTTAAAAATTAAAAATAGTGATATTTTTTATGTGATAGGAAAGATTTGGGTGTTTTGAATATAAAATGTAAAATTTAGGTTTTATATATGTAAATACCTAGGAGTTTGGTGGTATGTATGTAAATGACACTAAGTAAAAGTATTGTTGCAAAGTATAAATATATCCTCTTTCCAAGAAATGAATAACTTTTACTGTTCTAAAAAGATTAGTGTTGCTAAAAAAAATTCGATTCAGGATTTCACTGGATATGCTAAGGGAGATTTTCCTGTGGTATATCTAGGTTTCAATCTTGATAAAGGTCGTCCTAAAATGCATTTGTTTGAGAATATTATTGATAAGATTAGGAAGAGGATTCTTTCTTGGTATAATCTTCTGTTGTCCTATGGGGGTAAGGTGATGTTACTTAAAAGTGTCCTTACTTCTATTCTTTTATTTACTTTATGTTTTATAAAGATGCCTCATTCTGTTTGTATGAAACTGGAGGTTATTTTTAATAAATTTTTGTGGGTTGGTAAACATATTAAAATTCATTGGATGAGATGGAAACAAATGTGCAAACCTATTAGTAAGGGTGGACTTGTTTTCTGTTCTCTTATGGGCACTATGCATCTCAGTTATATGAAATTATGGCTGAATTTCGTAATGATAAGTCTTTCTGGGCTAAAATGATGCATCTGAAATATTGTAAGGATGTGCATCCTTTGTCTTTGACTAGTAAAGCACAGGATTCTTTTGTCTGGAAAAATATGCTTCAGGTGGCTAATTGTACTGAATCTTATATTTGTTGAGATCTTGGTAAAGGTAGGTGTAGTTTTTGGTACAATAACTGGAATGGTTTGGGGACTTTAGTTGAAAGCTACGGGGGCCCTTTTGATATTAACTTGCAGGTGCAGAAAATGTGGAATGACAACAGTTGGAATACTAATATGCTTGCTAACCTGGTTAATAAGGAGGATTTGGCTAGTATGCTAAAATTTCTATTAGTCAGGGTCTTGATAAGATCAAGATTAAAGGTAATTTGAGTTGATCTGCTTCTAAGATTTTCTCTAAGTCTCTTTATACCTCACAAGGCAAGGATTTACAGTGGACTTGGAATGACTTAATAAAACCTACTCAATCCCTTTTTATGTGGCATCTTTTACATAAATTTTTTTCTACTGATGATATTTTAAAGCTTAGAGGTTTAAGAATTCTTTCTATCTGTTATTTCTGTAAGAAGCATGTTGAGACTTTAGAACATATTTTCTGTAATTGTTCCTGTATTACAGATTTATGGGAGAGTTTTTACTCTTTTTGAGTATGATGGAAATCATACTCCTAGCACTTCCATTGCTGCTATGATTGCGGTTTGGCAGCAGGATAGATCGAAGCTTTACAGGTCTGTTCATGTTATCTTTTCTTGGTTTATTTGGTGTGCTCGAAATACTTGTAAACATGAAGGCAAGATTTTCTCTAGCTCTAACTGTTTTTAATATATTAAAGGTTTTATCTGTAAGATGCTGAAATATGGGAAGTTTAAGCCTTCATGTAATTCAAATGTAAAGCACATGTTACTTAAATTTAGTATTGATTTACCTAGAAATTCTAAAGCTGCTATTATCTTTGTTCATTGGACAGTTTTTGTTGGTGGGTATATAAAGATCAATACGGATGGTAGTTGGACTCCTTCTACAGCAGGTACTGGTGGTATTTGTTGAGATTCTTCTGGTAAGGCTAGTATGTGGTTTTCTACTCCTGTTTTAGCTTCAAGTGTTATTGAAGCTGAAGCAGAGGCTGGGGGTATTGGGTTTGGAATAGGCTAATTGGCTCTAAAATGTGGTTGGAATTCTTTGGAAATTGAAATTGATTCTTTTGATTTATGGTCTTTTTGTTGCAGGAATAGGAATTATCCTTGGAATCTTATGATTCATTTGAAAAGAATTTTTGCTCTGACAATTGGTATTCAAGTTCGTTGGCTTTTCATTCATCGAGAAGGGAATAAGTGTATGGATTGGGTGTGGATTGGGCTGCAAAGCAAGGGATGAAGACTCAAAAAGCTATTTTTACTGATAAGTTCCCTGGAATTCTTAATTGTTTTATTAGGGGTGATATGATGGATTCCCCGTATATTCGTACTTCTTCTTGATTGTGTTTTTTGGATAGGTTTGGGTGTGGTGTGAGTTGTATTTTTTATTTGTTTTTTTTTTTTGGAATTGAAACCTTTTTTTATTTTTTTTTTGTGAGTTGTATAGGGTTTAGGTTGGGTTCCTTTTCCTATGTGTTTGTAATTTTTTATTTTATTAACAAATTAGAGCCTTTTAGTGCTCTTTATTAAAAAAAGATACAGCTAAAGAACATGTCCACCTTACAATGCAGTTCGAAATATGATCCATGCATGAAAAAACCGATAGAATGAACAAGCAATGAATAAATACAAAGGTTTATACAAATTCAAAGATAAAAGCGACAAAGACTTAAGTGAGAGATTATTTCGCAATGGAAATGCCAAAATCTCCCTTTATGAGCATAAAAAAGAGCGCAATTAAAATGACTTAAAAAACAAAACAAAACAAAACAAAGCTAGCATACACACTGTTATGATATGAAAAAAATAAATCAATTTAGAGACGAGCACCATAACTTTACATATTCGATCAAGATTGATCTTCATGTAAGGGATTGATAGCAAAAGAGTATGGTGGAGTACAAATTAAGAAAATTTACGAATATATTAAATTCTCTTCACCTAGAACTAATAAGGAGTTGAGAATATCATACCTACCTTGAAGTAATCTTTCACAAGATAAAGTAAGAAGAAGTAAAATTTCTCTCTCAATAACATACATCAAATATCAAACCATAATCTATTGTGGCTCTGAGATACGTTAAAATTTATTTCACTGCTTTCTAATGAGCTCGATCAAGTCTATCCTGATACATCCTCTTTCATTCACTGTATGCGAAAAACCCAAATGTACATAGATGACAAAATATAATGACTAAAAAGTATATATAAGTGATAGGCTTTTAGCTCACGACTCAAATATTTCCAGTACTTATAAATACTACATAATTCTTACGTATTTACATATAAAACACCTAAACATCCATATTAACGTTTTTAAAACTGGTTTCATAAACCTATACATGAAAACATGTATTTCATTTTTAAAAAAAGTTAAGTGGTGTTTTTGATGTGATGTTAAAGATCTCAATGGTTCCCATGTATATATTAAAGTTTAGGTGTTAGATATGTAAGTACATAAGAATTGTGTAACATGTATGTAAATGCCCCTAAAAATATTTATCTTATGTTAGAAATAAAGTAATTGTCTTTTGACTCCTAATTATCTCCAACCCCACAATGTTCTTAGTAGCATCAAGATCTTTATCCCAAATATTACACTCAAACTAACTTTCAAATTATGAATCTATAATATCTCGAATTATAATCAATATATCATTAATATTTAAGAGCATATACACATAAGATTCATCTATAAGCTATAGTACACAAAGCTATCAAATCAGCTTTTATTAAAACCATGGTTAATGAATTTACCTAAATTCATGTGCAACTGCATAGAAGACTGATTTAGGCCAAACAAACACTACTTTTGTAGATACAAATGACCTTCCACCACTATAGCTAGACCCTAGTGGTTGTTACATGTAAATCTCCACATCTAAATCACCATAGAGAAAATTTATCATTAGAAACATCTATCTTTGCATCCAACAAATTTAATTTTAAGTGCTTCTGCAACCACTATTATTATTGTATGAATAGAACTGTTCTTAACAATGCTTGATAAAACCTCATTGATGTTCATACCGTCTAATTGTAGCCCTTTATAAATAGGCATGCTTTATATCGAAAATTCTGTTGATTTTAGGTTCCCTAGCACTGGAAAATCCATTTGTTAGTCAACAATCTTTTTAACTCCGAAGGGTTTAAATAGATCTGAAATCTCATTCCTTTATAAAGCTCAAACTCCCTTTATCATAGCAATGGTTTACAAGTTTGATTCTCATCCACGAATAAAAGTGGAGGGCTCTTGATCACTAATACATTCCACAACACTCAAAGCATAAGGTATCATCTAAAAATAAGAGGAATTTGTAATCAAATCTCTAAGGTGCTCTAAATTGCTTTTAGTTCTATCAGAACTAATAAATTCTTAGGATTATGGAAGTGTCACCTCCTCCAAAGGCCTAGACATAACAGTTAGCTGTGGCAATCTATCAGTTAACTGTTAATGATCCACCTTAAATTTGACATATCATTTTAACTATTTGATCTCCTTTAAAATCCTTAATTTGCCCTGGCTTTTGTTGAAACGTTTGGTATATTGAACTTAACATCTCTACTAATAAGAGTTCAAGTGTCATGGCATCAATATATAAAATCATACATCTTCTCATTCTTGGGTTTATTGTATAAAAAATGATCTTAATTTACTAGAACTAAATGAAAATATGACACTAAATAGGACGCAATGGAGAAAAAGGATTCATGTAGCCGACCCCACGTAGTGGGATTAAGGCTTTGTTGTTGTTGTTGTTGAAGAAATATGCATTCTAAGGTCTAGCTTAGCCCCTCTAACATGAGCAAGATATGTAGATAACAAGAAACCTTTAAAATTGAGTAATCTGCAAAATGAACTGATCTCATCTCTTCAAAAGTTATCAACTCAACAACAATACCCGGAAATGATCACCAAGAAAAATGCAATATAAACAATTTTATCAAAAAAAATTTCTCAAATCAGCATCGGATAACATACATAACTATCTCTAAGAGTACCCAAGTTATTCTTTCTGTCGCTCCATTTTTGTTGAGTACTCATTAAAGTTTTATATTTAATAATGTTCCCTTTAACAAAGGATCTCAAACTCAAAAGAGAGAGATTTTAAGCTATCACTTAAGGTAAGCCGGTATCTATATCCACCTTTTGATCTAGCATTAGAATGATCTCACAAGTCAAAATGAGTATAGTCCAAGGCACCCTTGGTCCTATGACTCAAATTGAAAACTTCAATTCATGGTTTTTACCCAAAACACAATGCTCATACGACTCCAAAACTTCTGCAATATAGCAAACTTTATAGGCCTAACTAAACTCTAACAGACCCCACTGTAATATACTCAAGCCACGTGCACCATAGCTTAGTCAAATCATTTGATAAAGAAATTAATCAATCACATATTAGTTTCTCTAAGCAAGAGTTCACCAATCTTTTTTGATCTCATCAAAACTGTAGCATCATAGAAACAAGTAAAACTCCACAATTCAATAGTGAATCTGTACCATTATAGTCCAAAAGCTAAAAAAATAAGATTTTTCTTCAAATATGGCATGTCTTACCTCTCTCAAATTCCTCATAGCTCCACGTCTTGATTTGAATTATTTATATCCCAAAAATCTTAGAAGTCATGTCATTACCCACAAGAATGTATTAATCATTAACGAATCTATATGATACAAACCAATCCCTGTAAATAGTCATACGATATAGACATCCGACTTAATGATAAAATCTTAAGTAGAAGTGATAAAATAGCATATAGCTATCTAAACTAGATCAAACTCATCTTTTTGCTCCTATGTTTGATTTTGCTTTAAACTTCTACTTATCCTCACAAGCAACCCTTATAGCAAAATGGGAACAGTGTGCACAAAGGTGGATTGAGTTTTAAAAAATCAAATTTATCCTTTCTCTTCAATTTTGACATCCAAATTTCAAACCAAGTATAACTTGTTATACGTGCCATCCAAATGCACATACAATGACATCCTTCATATGAAATGTGAGCAATTGTTGCTTCAAATAGAGATAGTTTGTATGTGACTTCTCCATGAGAAGAAATTTAACATTTTCCACATCTCCTGCAAGGTACTTCGACATGCAACATTCCAAAGTATTTTCTCTCTCAAAATAAAGATGAACGAACTAAGGTTTTTCTCGGTTATGTCAATTTGGGAATCCATCTAATTCAAAGCTTTTTGGAGAAAAAACAGTCTCACATTCATTTTCAAATGGTTGAGTTCATAGTTCCCATTAAATTTCTCAAACTCAGTTAATAGCACCTACAGCAGATTTTGATGACTCCATCTCAAAAATTATAAAAGGCCAATACTAGTCTGTTGCGGTGCAAATGTATGGATATTTCTTAAGAAGTGCCAAAAAAAAAAACTATCAAATAATACACTCACAAATCTCACAAATTTAGAGATAAGAACACCAGGATTTATGTGGCTTGGTCACAAGACATAAATTCATGGGGCAAGATGAAAAAGAAAATTCTATTATCTAAAGAGATGCAGAGATCTCAACAAACTTGAAATAATAATTTTCAAGGGAAAGTCAAAGAGAAAGTATTGTTCCTCTCTTACCAAATTTTCATCAAAACAAAAAAATATTCTTCCTTGAAAAATTTTCTCCATAGGATAATCAAGAAAGCTAACAGATTCCTTTCTTGATTGCTCGTATTGCTTTCTAATCAATTGTAGATAAAAATCCTAACCTCTCTATATTGAAATCGACAAATGTCCAATCATTTATATAATCTTGATTCAATTACTAAAGTTTAAATAGGATTAGGATGTATAATTATAATTTTGCATTAGGTTATTTGATATAACTTACCAGAATATTATCAATTTAGAATAAAAAACCCATTTATCCTTGCCAAACTTTTATTATTCACCACAAAATTTGAACGATAGAGATTCAATGTAAAATATAACTTTGTACAATATCATGATTGGTAGTTATTTTAAATCTAGTCATTCAAAAAAACTTGTGAAAGAAGGAAAAAAACTGAGAACATAAAATGGCTCAAAATTTCTATTTAGCACACACACACACAAACTGACAACAAATTTAAACCAAGCCAGACTCACATGTCACTCTGTGAGGTTATATTTAGACCTAAACAATTGTAGATTAATCAGGTTCAACAACATGACAAAACAAAACCTGTGATGTTTAGGCAGAAATACTTCAGGAAAAATAACAAAGAAGAATGAAGGGGAAGTAGATAGGATTTGTTAGGAGTTATTGTACTCAAACATTTTTACGCAAAAATTAAAGCCTTATTACTAAATATCTGATCAAATACTGTGGATGACATAAATATATTGATAAAGCTATTGGCAGATAAAAGGTTTACAATTATTTCTATTTGAAAAACTTAATGCATTCAAGACCAAAAACAAATTTGCATGAAATAACTTCCAAAAATCACGGGTTATTAGGTATACCAACAAAAAAATGAAAAAAAAAAGAAAAGGCTCAAACAGATGTCCTTGTTGACAACAGTCCATACCAATCATGCTGGATACCGATAAATCCTCGATCAAAGATAAGAGGGAGGTAGTTCGAACTCATAGCTGGTACCACATTCATTACCCACACAGATTTTCCAGTTTCAAGTAGAGCAGCATTGAAACCTCCAAATCCAGCATTCATATCCAGCACATTCCTAACCATATTAAAAGGAGGAGAGGGATCCTCGTCCCCAGGCCTCTTAGGATGATCTGAAAATATAAGTGGTGAAAGAAGAGACCAATAATTACGAACTGCTGCATGCCAGTTTAAGGAATCCTCTGTAAAATCCTCTAAATGTACACCTGATAACAAAACTAACTAAATAAATAAACTTCCATAAAAATTGTGGGAATATTAATTCATCTAGAGGGTCATAAAGTATACCATGTATGTCAAGTTGTGCTGAGTTCAGTTTAGATTGAGCAGGCCAAGGTGTTTGGTTTTCAATCGGGATCCACCTCTGGCTTCTTAATCCTCCAATGCAAGGATTTAGTGGTTGATAATAGGGAGATTCAATATCATGACTCCTTCCGCAGAACGGAGGACCAGCTTTCCTATAAGATATTATGATTGTTTCAAAATTAGTAAAAAAAAACCATAATACCAAAAATTACAGTATTGAGATACATACCGAGAACTGTAACATTTCTTTTTGGTGGTCTTTTTCCAAATGATTGTTTCATCTTGTTGTGAAAGCATTTCCCAACAGAGATTCTCAGCAAAATCACGTATATGAGTCCATTTTTTCATGTTTTCCTTGTCGCGAAGAGATCTGTGCGCGTTCGTAAGTGACGTCCAGACGAAGTATCCTCCGGGCCTCAAGAGTCTGTCAACTTCCACAAGGAAGATACCATCTGCATGAAGATTTTGTAGTGATTCAAACTCAATAAATTGAGCATAAAGGAAAACCATTATGATAAGAAAAGAAGAAAATAGAAGTGAGGAAAGGAATTTTTCATGTCCCACTTGGCTTGCAATATACACCATGAAATTCAATAATAAGCAACTAATTGAGAGGAGACAGATTTTCGATGCATAGTACAAAATAGGTTCAAATTAATGGATAATAACAACAAGGGCATTCGCATATATACCACCCAATTCCTATGTATTTACATATCTAACACCTAAACTAAACTTTTAACAATTATACCACCAAATTATTCACAACAAATCAAAAATACCACGTTTTAACTTTTAAAAAGTGAAATACAGATTTTCATGCATAGGTAAGGTGGTTTATATGTAACAAATGAAGTTTAGAGGTTTGATATGTAAATAAATAAGAATTAAGTGGTATGTATGTCAATTCTTCCTAAAAAATACAGCAAGAAAAATGGTAAGATAAAATGGTACACACCGTTCTTTTCCCAGTCAATCCCACATTTTGCGCAATGAACCATGTCAAAGGAAAGACATGGATATGGCAATTGTTTTGATATAAATGAACCAATCATGGCAGGCAGGCCCCTTTCAAGTGTAAGTTGAACTTGACTTCCAGAGGTTTCATAGCTTGCGATGCACAAGGTGAGGAGGTGTTTCGAAAAAAGATGTGCCCCAAAACTACCGAAGCCACAGCCTATATCTAAGACAGTCCTAATCTGCAATTTTAACAAAGTAAGTCAATATTTTCAATAGAGCAGATGATGCCATCAAAACAAAGCTGGAATGCCCTTCCTGCAAATAAGAAAACTAAAGCACAGTTGAAGTTTGTTTTCAAGGGCAATTAAAGTTGAATAAGGAAAAAAGAAAACAAACTTTCATACTTAAAAGACCATGGCCAAAACATAGTAATGGTAAGACAGTTAATAAACAAAAGCTGAAAAGTGAACCCAAGCTTGGAGAGTAGGAATCAACAAACAGATGAATGTTTATTGCCCCAAAATAGGACTAGCCATAAAGGTGATAATGATTCAAACTTGAGGTACTAATCCTAGCTTAAGGTCAGCTCAATATCCTTTAAACCAATTTCAAGTCAAACCAAAGTTTGGCTTTAAGTTTGTTAGATTTGATTTTGATTCGAGCTGAGTACGGCTCATTAACTTTGATTTGGGCTCAATTCAAGCAAAAACAATTGATCCATTTCCATTATTCCAAAAGAGAAATTCTGAATTCTGCTTACTTAAATAAACTGCTATATATAGTTTCATATACATGAAATGCATATATACATTATGCATATATGCATTAATTCAAAGCTGAACAATTACATAAACATATGAATATACATTCATATAAACAAACATATAGATTGAGATCCAGTAAGGGTTTGGTGCAATTCAAATTTGCTCCAAGCTGAACTGGGCTTCTTGATAAACTTAAATCCATGTTTGATCCAACTAAAAAATTGATCAAATTTTCAAGCAAACTTTAAGCTCAATTCAATGGTTGTGCTGGTCAGTTTGCTAGAGTTCCAATTTTTTAGCCTAATTTTGATCAAGGGTAGAATTTCTATATATCGTCTAAAATATTGAACAATTCAACTGAGAATTTCATCAGCTTAATTTTAATGAGAAAATTTAAGTGATACCGACAATCTACAAAATAAAATAAATAGACCATAAAATATATAGGAATACATATACATTCAGTGATTAGCTTCATAGAAATGCTAAGATAACAACAGAAGTTTGATATGCAATAATGAAGACATGGAATGCCATAATCCCTTAGCACCCTCTAAAGAGACAAAAAAGAGAATTTATTGTGTATTTATTTATTAGTCTATGATCATTACAAGCAACTATTTGATCCTAAGTATGTCCTACTATGAGAACATGAACAGCGGGTCTTGTACGGATCATGTAAATCAAAAGACCAAGCAATCAATCTAACAGATAGCTTAAAACTCATGCAGACAACCATAGCCGATTGCTTGGGAGCTCAAGTTGTCAATTAATAGGCCCTCAAAGCCTTGCATATCAGGTAGAATACACTTGCTATTAAATTTGCCCAAATGTCCCAGAAAAAATAAATAACAAGCAAGATGAAAACTGCTCAAGCCATGTGAAGGGGCAATTTCAAGATTTTCTCATATATACTATAAACACCATATCAAAGATGGGTGGCACAACATCGTAAAGAATTTTAAGAATTGTGATAAAAAGAAGTATTCACATGACGCGTGCACACAATCACAAATTATATGTTATAAAACATATTTATCATAACAATAAAATTTATTTATCACACAAATTGAAGCAAATGTGATGTGGGATAAAGTAACAAACGCTATTAAACATATAGCAAAAGATGTTCTTAGAGAATCAAAAGGAAAAATAATTACAAATATAAATAGTTGGTGGTGGAATAATAATGTGCAAGAAAAGATAAAATATAAGAAGTTATGTTATAAAAATTGGTTTAAATGTAAAAGCTTAGAGAACTGGAGAAAATATCAAACGGTCCGCAGGGAGTCTAAAAGAACAATCTGTGACGCTAAAAATTCTGCTTTTAATGATCTTTATAATAGATTAGATACTAAGGAGGGTGAAAAATATATGTATAAACTAGCCAAACAAAAAGAAAAGAAAAGTAAAGATTTAACTCAAGTAAAGTATATTAAAGATATTATGGTAGGAATAATCAATTTAGATTTTATAGGGTGCATGATAGTAAATTTTATGAAAATTAAGGACATCAAAATTTTGATGCAGACAATGATTTAACTATTATGGCTTAAGCTATCGCCAGATTTTACATTTTATCCTTTTTGTAATGCTAAATTTATTAGGAGGAGACGAAGCGTGGACTCATGCGGTAAGTAGAGAAGAAGGGGCCAGCGGAACATGAACGAGCAAAAATGAAGGGGAAATTAGGGCAGCAGTGTGTTGACGCGGGGCGTTTGAAAGCAGGCGGAATGCTTTCCGTGTTTGAAAGCGGGCGGAGGGCCTGCTTGTCTGGAGTGGTTCATCTAGACTTTTCCTTAGTGTGGAGTGACGTCCAGTCCCTTCGGCCCACCCCTAGTTATTCTATTATTATAAATTTGCTTTCATAATGTATTAAAGTTAGTTTTTGCGTGTGTTTGTTTGAGACAGCTGCCGACTTCTTTGGTTTAACCTTCTAAGGCTGTTTTGAAGGGTCTGAGTAGTGCTCCCGCTATATCTCGCTCTTGAAATAGTGATTTATCCTTTCTCTACCTTTCCCCATCCTTCCCGATTCCCTCCTTTGCTTCCCTCCATTGCTGCCACCACCCAAAACCACATCCCCTTGCTGATTTCCTACTATTCAATCCCTCCTATCTTGCTGCTGCCGTCCAAATAACAACTGTTGTTTCTTGCTACTATCTAGTCATCCAACTTTGCTGCCACTACACAAACTCTCTTCTTTTTGTGGGTTCCTGCTGTTCCAGCCATCCCTACCTTTGCCACCCCCTTTCCTTCGCTGCCATCATCTAGAAAACAACAAGCTTGCTGTTTTTCTGCTCTTTCAGCAGCCTGCTGTCCCTACCAATTCACTTTGCTGACCACTACCACCTCTGGATCTAATCCTAGGGTGAATTTGTGTTGTTGTTTGTTGCAATTTCAGATTTATGTTTGTTTGTTGTAATTTTCTATTGGAAGTTGGTAATAATATTTATTTTTTCATTGTTATTTGGTTTAATAAGTTGGTTTGATCAAATTATTAAAAGGTGTGAACGATTTAGATATCTTGGGTCCGTTGTCCAAAGCGATGGTGATATAGATGGGGATGTTAATAGTAGAATTCAAGTTGGTTGGTTGAAGTGGAGGAATGCTTCGGGCCTTTTGTGTGACAAAAAAGTACCGCTAAGACTGAAAGGAAAATTTTATAAGACGGTGGTGAGACCTGCAATGCTCTATGGCGTTGAATGTTGGCCTTTAAAAGAGAAGCATAATAATAAGTTAAGTGTTGCCGAGATGAGAATGATTAGGTGGATGAGTGGCTTTACACTTAGAGACAAAATGCGGAATGAATATATTCGTGATAGGGTTGGTGTAGCTCCTGTGACAGACAAAATTAGAGAAAGTCATCTTAGATGGTTTGGTCATCTTAAACGTCGACCATTAGATGATCCGATTAGGAGAGTAGATGTTTTAAATTCGGCTTGTGTTAAGAAAGGCAGAGGTAAACCTAGGAAGACTTGGGCTTATTGTATTAAAAATGATCTTAATTTACTAGAACTAAATGAAAATATGACACTAAATATGACACAATGGAGAAAAAGGATTCATGTAGCCGACCCCACGTAGTGGGATTAAGGCTTTGTTGTTGTTGTTGTAATAAAATTTATTTCATCGCGCAGGTAGTTTAGAAAGATTATTTGAAATTTGGATCTTTCAAGGAAATATGAGTGTATAGTTAAAACGAAGAAAAAATATAGTTATTGTAAAAAAACTAGATAAAGTAAAAAAAATATCACATAAAATTACTTACAAGAGTTTTTTTTGCTTCCTATTTGTACAATGTGTGGGGGTTTATATAGACATGTCTGCAAGTCTTTCAAAAGGGAAATAGAATCAAAGCAAATTAATTAATGAATGAAATAGGAAAGAACTAATCCCCATGTAAGGCAGGCAGTCTTAGGGGTCCATGGGAACGAAATACAACGGCTCCAAAGGCTTTGATCCGAAGGCCAGGGATCTTAATATGTGAGCAGTAGGAGCTCAGCCTTCGATTGGCTAAAGATCTTGTGTGTGGGGCTCACACCAAAGATATAGTTATTTGAAGGAAGGGGAGGAGTAGCTGCAAGGCCCATGGCTTTCAACAATCACAATACTACCAATTTATGAAAAGAATAATAAACTAATACAATAATACCAATTTATAAAAAGGAAATTAAACTAAAGAACAACAACAACAAGATAGCTAAGGAATTAAACTATGGAATTATTAAGTTTTAAAAGCCCATTAGGAAGAGAGATTCCACCTCTACCTGATTATTAAAAAAGCCAATTTTTCATTCCTTGAATCTATCCAAAAGTAAGCTTATCAGATGGGAAGATAACTCGATTTTTCCTTGCCTGAAGATGTGTTGTACACTCTACACAAATGCTTTCTAGTGGCATTATCTGATGCCCTAAACTATGTGAAGCATAAACTATATTATTGCAAAAGATCAACCAGGTTTTTTTTTTCTTTTCTAGATGAAAAGATTTGAATTTTGAAAAACACCTTAATATGAAAATCAACAAGAGAAGATATAGGTTTTCATACTTCATTCATTTGAAATTACAAAAATTTTGAAAAAGACACCATTTCTTACATTTAAGAATTAAAAGAGCACAGTGGTTAGAGTTTGCTAATGAATCCAAATTCAAATACACAATTAATTTGACATGTTTCTCACCAGATATGGCCCATTTTTATAACTTATTCCATGAGAAATCCTGATAAATACATAAATTTATTTGTTAGTACATAATTCAGTCACATCTTAGAATAAGGAAATAAAACTAAATAAAATATAAGTGAGTTTCACCTAGCTATTCTAGGATGCTCGAGCCTTTTTTTCATGCCAGATTTCAAAGAACACTAGAATATAAAGTTGGCCTTTATCCACAAATGCAGCAAATTCAACACTATTCATGCGTCTGCTCCCTCTAGCAATTAAATTTAGCCAAAAAATATACAAATAAATATT